TTTTAATATTACATGTATATGTGTGCCTTGTTGTGGTGGTGAGCCTTCCCAATTGAAAGACTAGAAAAACAAATCATTGTTGAATACAATGTGCACTACATTTGATACAGTTTGCTGCCATCTGTTGTCAAAGTCCAACCAGCTTGTTACAGTAAGTAATGAAAAGTACTTTGGTCACTGAAACAAATTACATTGATAAATATCAAACAAACATATTAATCTTAAAGCATGAATGGATATTTTCAACAACTAACTGCATATACAAGCAACAGTTATTTTGCAAACAATTCTCACATAGGACAGATTTGCAAAGAAAGTTTTGACAGAGTACATTGAAATCTAAAAAAATATACAGTGACATCTGGATAAGCGGATAGCTTAAAGCATCATCAAATTCATTAAACACACAAACATTAGAACAAAGATAAATCATTAAAACAGCAATCGAATCATTGGAAAAACAAAAAGTAAAAATGTCTTTACAAGAAATAGAGCAAATTTGGTATGATACAAACATATACAAATAATAACCATTACAGGAAATTCAATCATTCAAATAAAATTCAAGATAATAATGGACAACTTGGATACTCAAAATTGCTTTAGCCAATTAATGACTTTCGAGGGGAAATCAAGTATATTTACCAATGCATTATAACAAACTATTTCTTGTAAAACAGTTCTGAAGAAGAAAAAAAACCTAGATCATACAGTATCAATCTACAGTATTTTCTTCACTCTACACATACATGTATTTCTTCTATTCAAACTTGAGAATTATATCTTTATAGTGTTTTTTTAAATGAGGGAATGATATTTTGACATGAAAATATACATTGTACAAGTTTTATATTCAAATTGTAAATGTCTGTTTATTTCATTTACATATAGATTTATGAAAGGCTCAATACATATGGAATGTCTAAAATCAGATAAAATCTAACAATTTCAGAAAAAAATAAAAATTTGTATAAAACCTATCCCTTCTCCCTCTGATTCTGTTCATACATTTTTACCTATTGCATCATGGATCTCCAACATTTGAGGCCGGGAAACAAACATATCTACATTCTAACATTTTAATACACTATTATTTCCATGTTCATGTACATGTAGCCCAGTTTAAAAAAAATATATGAATAATTTCTATAAATACCCATTCTCAAATTAAATTACCTTTAGACTTTCAAGTTAAGGTTGCATGCACAGATCCTATCTTTACCTTTAAGGATCAAATCGTTTGCATAGAATGCGATTTTGTAAAGGTTTGTTTAAAGACCATATCACACCAAAGAAAATAATATGTACAAAGCATGACCGTATTCATGAATGAAAAGTATTACAAATGAATAAAGTTAACAATAAAGTTGTATAACACAGAACTTTACCTACACATGTATAAAGTATCTTGCTTAATATTGTTTGTTCAGAGCAAGAAGGACATGCACTCTTTTAGGTTGAAGTATATGACTTAACGCCCCTCTGAGTGTAAACAGACAAATCATATAATGACATGACAGTTTCAGGACCAGTTGGCTTCAGAAAGGATGATTTTGAACTCTCATTCTTTATTTCCTTCTTCACAAATGCACAGGACTTTCCTAACCATGTCTTTATTTCTCTGCGCTTGATATGAAACAATCACGAGTGTAAGATTCTGTCAAAATATAGTCTAGACATTTTTTAGAAGAAATTAATGGATGTGTCCTTTCACGGGTGCTTTCAGACACTGCACCTCTTTAATGAAGGCGTCTATATATATTCAAAATGGGTGTTACTTTGTTAACCTACAAGTCATGCATGAAGACAGACAATAGCTGAACTTTGGAACAGTCTTGCTTCGAAAGGCAAAACAAATAAAAGTTAAAAGAAGGTACCCTTTGATTACGGATACAATAAAAAGACAAAGATAGTTACATGTACATGTGCAAGTAATTCCACGTTGCATTTCTAAAGGAACACATAGAAATGTAGGTTTACTGTGTATCAATAATCATCATGACATCATTTTGGTTTTAAAAAGTATAAATTTGCAATGCAATAATTCTTATAAGAAATATCTTTTTCATTTCCATGCAATTCACCCTGCTTATGATCACCGATACTTATGACCATGCTTATAAAATGGAATGTTTTGACAATGATGTAAATTTAATTTAGCAACATTTTCTCACGTTCATATATGTATCCACAAATACGAGACATTTTACCCTTTTTAGAAGTCTGAATCAAAAGCAGTATTGTGTATTTACTTTGAGAAGTGTCTGGTTTTCCACAACCTTGATATTTCCATGATAAACATATCACATGCATATATATACTGGCATGCATAAAGGTGTTGTGCGCATGCGTAGGTCTTACTTGACTTGCCTTTTTCTCAATCAGCAATATGAGAGCAGACATTCCTAAGGAGGGTGACCTTAACGCCACTGTCTTCCAGCTTTTTACATTACTTTCAGGTTGAAAGAATTGTACTTTATATTCAAAAAAATATTTTCATACCATCTATTACCGTATTTGCCTAAAAAGATTGGTGTAGACGTATTTCAAGCACTTTTGGGCAGCATTTCCAATTTTGAGCAAAAATGTACTCTGTCAATGTCAATATCATATACATTGTAAGTGACCAGTTGACATGCACCAGCGACAACACAGTCCCTGGGTATACCTTCAATAACATTGTAAATATCATGGTGCAATGATTCATTGATCTTATCGCTACTGAAAGACCACTTATATTTGAAGATTTGTGTCAACTCACACTTATGTTAGTGAGTCGATGAATCAAAACGAGTGTTTGGTACGTCATTCCAAACCCGCACTGTGATCGTTTAGGCACTTTCTCTCTATCTTTACACTTCATGTGTGCTTGTTAAGTTGAAGCCAATAATTCGAAAGACAAGAATGAAAACCTTCATGTAATCGGCATTACTATAAGCGCTGAAGCATTAAAAGTATTGAAAATTCCCTTTTCCTAAAATTGTTTGTTTTTCCTTCATGATACATAAATATATGTATGTACTTGTCCAGCGTGAATTTACATTGTACCACAAACCATTAGCAAATTTACTTGCTGAAATAGTTACCATTACGGAAACAACAGCAACAAAAAAAGATGACGATCAAATCAAACAGTCAACACACCCAAATTAATTATCTATGATGCATAAATTATAAATAAACCAAAGGTAAACACCATACATGTTGTATTTAAAATGTTGGCATATTTTCTGGACTAAGGTTTGACAAACCATGCCAAAAAAATTGTCAATTTTTTTTCTTCCAACCATGATTCTTGTATCTTTTCAAAAGAAATGATCGATTTGGAATATGCCAATTACTGAACAAAATGACAGGTCAACATAATGCATTTGCAGAGCAGTAAAATACATCAATTTGGATGCATATGAAAATGGTTTCATCTTTGACAGCAATAAAATTAGATGTAACATGAATTGCATGTTTGGCACTATAAAGCCTACAACTTGAGTAACGGACATCAGCTAGTTATTATCAATACCGGTATTGCTTCAGTTGTGGATTGTCAAAAAAAATGTTCAAAGGCCTTTTGTCAAATGATCTATCAATCATGAGAGTCATCATGTCCGACTTGCCACACAACATTCAATGTATATATACTGATGAGCCTTCTGGCGAAACAGTCTGTATAACTCGTACCAATAAAGTGTAACTTTCCAACTCCTATATATATATATATATATATATATATATATATATATATATATATACCAATTTTTAATTGCAATTTGTTGAAAGGACATGAATTACTCAATTCATGCAGTGTGTACATACCAGTAGATATCTGTCTTCGTCAAATGTTATTCAAAAATAAGAACAAAGTTTGGCAATAATTTATTAGTCCTTTAAATGCAAAGTGAAATGTATCATTCTGATTGTCTATTATGTATGGCACGTAGTATTAAGCGAGACATTTTTTGAACATGGACCATGCAGCTTTTATATAAATGCAATATTAACTCAATTGCATCATCCAGTAAACATAGCATGAACGCTTTGTACTTTCAAATGATTAAAAACAGGGTTTCGTGAATTATATGCAAAGCACTTTCTGAAGGACTTTGCCTCCATTCACTTGCAAGAGAAAGATGAAGAAAAAACCTGTTTGTATTTTAATGCATTCCTATTCCATACAAACATGTGGAATGTATAAAAAAAAAAAATCATACATGTTACATGTACATGCTCAATGACGAGTAGGTATAATTAACAAATGTATGTACGTCAAATGCACGGTCTTATGAAAGCTTATGTAATTGGGCCACTTTCATTAGCAATATCATTGGCCAACCTGGCAACAATACACTGGGGCCTAATTATATTTAATCTCTTTCAGAGTTGCGAGCAGCTATACAAAAATTCACACCACAAAGAATAAATTATACAGTAGATGGAATCAGCACTTACATGAAGCAACTGAGCATGTTTTGAAAATGTGTGAAGTGTATAGGTTACATGGATGCAAATTAATAAAAGCCTGTCTGATAAGGCTACACATACATGTATGTGCATCATCAAACTCCAACTGATAGAGATTTAAATCATTTCTAAAAGGCGCTGATCAATTCAACATTTACAGAAGCATACATGTATTTATAAAAATGCATTTTTAAATCAATATTCATACGTGTATAAATTATAATTTATACATTTACAGCTGTATAAGGAAAATAAAAGTGTGGGCATATCAACCATCATATCTATCTCCCACTCTGTCTACTGAATAATTTAATTTACGATCTGAGCTACATGTATGGAGATAAATAGATTGAGATACCCAGCATAATTTCTTATTAATAATCAGCTATATTTTCTTTAGAGGCAGCTGCATCTCACGTTACCTTTGGACTAATAATAACAAGCTCTATTCCTTGTCTCCATGTCCCGACCCAAAGTGCTATTTTTCTCTCCCTCATCTTTTCTCATCCTTCCATGTCCCCCTTTCTCATTCTCTCTCTAGCTCTAACCCGCTTTGTCAAGATATCTGCTGCACCAGCAGTATAAGGCATGTGGCAAATGGAACATACTGTATGTGTTTAAAGGCTTTTGAAGGACAAGGTTGAAATCATATGAGTTCTAGAGTGAGCTGAATATGAAATCAATATTCACATACATGCTCACTCTGCATGTTCATACAATTGTGTACAGTGCAAGATGTTATTTTTTTAAATCTATAAATACAATGTACGTGTTAAATTCATTTTACAGTGTGTGGACTGCTTGCAACCTTGCACAAATGTTTGTGTGAGTGCATGCTCATGCATGCAACCATTCCACAAGGTGAAGGTTTTCTCCATTGTTAAATGTTGCACAAGACTGTTGCTAGGAAAATATCTCCAAATTTGTGAATTTCTTTATATACAGCACCTAGAGATCAATTACATGCATTCTTTTTTTATCTTCCAAAGTTTAGTGCACATTGAAAATACAGTGTGCAACGTTATCCAGTACCTCAATGTGTTCATATTTTTCTCTGCCATTAGAAGCAAACAGATTTGACTTTGACCATAATGCAATAAGTTTGCAACTTTGCAGACAGTTTTTATTATATTGCTGCATCTTGAAAACAATACAGAATTTCAAAACATGATGAAGGCACAATTTTCATGTGCAAATTAGCAACAAGTGTTTTTGTTTTTGTTGGAAATGTACATTTGTAGGCAGTAGTGCAACATTTTTATTGTCATACAGAAAAATATATACACCCTGTATGTACATTCCTAAAACTACCTCTTCTGGTTTTGGTCCTCCTACATGTTCACGTATTTGTGTACCTACAAATGTATGCAGTGAATACCATCAATTCATTTATTCTCCACCCTATAAAGGCTTGAGACAACATCTTGGGGAAATGGTCCCAAATTTGTTTTCTTCTGAGGCACTAAATTCTCCACTAAAATTTCAAGGTGACATTCAAGATTTCAAACTAATCAACAGAACATATCAAATATATAGTAGAGTAGACCTATATATTTTTAAATTTATTTTCACACACAATCACACACAAAATTCACTATTTTATTAATCTATAGTTTATACTGACTATGAAGATACTTACATTGCTTTTAAAGAAGCTACAGTACGTGTACATAGGCATGGTTCTCGTCACGGCATATTTTAACCAAGGTATACAAGTACCTTAAAAAAGAAATTGTGTATGATAGTGTCATGATATCTAACTACATGTATGGTAGATGGTCAACAGTTTTGTCCAGGCTTACCACATTAGAGCAATTTCATAATTGCTTAAGAGCTGTGGTAACATTTTCAATATCTATCACTCATTCTTAGAGATGACAGACTACAAGGTTCCAGGAACTGACATTTGCTAGTTGCAGCCTAATACTAAACATTTCACTTTGAGTCACATGTGACTAAACCTTGCATATATATATATGTACATGTAATGAAACAAACATACATGTATATGTATTACTTTCGTTTTCTTGCAAGCATGTTATAATTTTGTGCAGCATTTCCTTTGTTGTTTTTTGTATTCTACCATGCATAAGTTTATGTTTAATTAGTTTTCTTCAAACAGATACATGTTTGAAAGTTGATTGTCATTATCATCATGATTTGTTATTGAATTGCAAACAAGTGCATACAACTGTTTTAAATTAATAAGTTGTTATTTGTTATTTATTGTGCTCTATCATGCATAAGTTTACGTTTTCATTTTTTTCTTCAAACAGATACTCGTTTGAAAGTTGATTGTCATTATCATCATGATTGTTACTGAATTGCAAATAAGTGCATACTGTACAACTGTTTGGACAGGCCCAACTTCGTTAAGAGCCATCTAGACAAGCCAGTTTGATCTTCTTATAAAAAAGAGAAGATCTGCTTTATCTGCAATCGATTCTTGGCAAAGGATTAGTGTCACAACTTAAAAGTTATTTACGATTTATGATACTCATGTTACCATATCAGATGAGCCTTTCGTTGATCTCTGCAGCATCCCCACCTCCTTCTTGTGATATTGTAGCTGCTGGGGTTTCATCAGTAGGTACCTTCTCTGAACCGCATGGGGCCACCTCACCTGTATCACCATCCCTAAACTTAGGAGGGCTGTCGTCATCTGCCATAGGCTGTTCCTCTGGAGGTTGGGACTCACCGTTCGTCATCTCAGCAGGGCTGTCGTCTTCTGATGGTGCTTGTTCCTCTGAAGATTGTGACACTGTACCATCTGCATCACCGGACACCTCTAATGGCTCCTCTTGGTCACTACTCTCTTCTGTGCTTTTTGTGCTTTCCTGATCTTCAGCAGCAGCTTCCATGCTCTCCTGGACTTCCTCTCTACCTTGGTCTTCCACTGCTCCGGCATCATCCTGTGTTGCATCTTCCTCTTCCTGAGATTCATCTGTGTCAGACTCCTGCCTTGTGTCTACTGTAGATTCCTGCGCAGTGTCAGCCTCAGGTTCTTCTGATACAGCCTGTCCTGGCATTTCTTCTTCCTCTACTTCTTCTTCTACTTCTGATGGTCCTTCAACAGCATCACCAGCAGCATCACTATCTTCTTGGGCACTCTGCACTTCTTGCTCTTCCTCCACCCTATCTGATTCTGGGAGGTCATCTTCTACCACTTGTTCCTCAACATTACTTTCTGATTGTTCTGCAGGAACATCTTCATCCATCGTAGGTGTGGCCTCTGCCGTTTCTTCAGCCACTCCATTAGAATGGCTTGTCTCATCAGCATCTCCATTAACCACTGGCACCTCCTTTTGTTGCTCTTCAATCACCTCATTCTGTTCTTCTTCTTTCTTTTCCTCCACATCTTCTGGAATATCGGGTCTAGGATGCTTCTTTTCATAATCTCTCATCGCAGCCATTCCTTTAGCTGCAGAAATAGCTGATGGATACACTAAAGGATTCTGCTGCAGAACTAGCTTCTTTAGGGATTTAGCCTTTGTGCAGAAGTTTTCTGGAAGTCCCTTAATATTGTTAGATGATGCAAACACCTCTGTCAGGTGTGGCACTTCTGCAAGCTCTACAGGAAGCGTCGTCAGCTGGTTTCCATTCACCACCAAGCTCCGAAGGTTGGCCATGTCCTTGATTCCTGGAGGCAACCTCTTCAGCTTGTTCTTCCTCATGGCTACATCCTCAACCGAACTATTAAACAGAGCTTCTGGGAATTCCTCCAACAAGTTATCATCAAGCACAATCTCTTCCAATTTCCTTAAGTAGATGATATCTCTTGGCAGAGAAGTAAGCTTGTTCTTACTGATGTTGAGGTACCGAAGATTATCAAGCTCTCCAATAACCTCTGGAAACTGTTCGAAGTCATTGTTGGACAGATCAAGCCTCTCTAGCTTTTTGAATCTTTCAAGTTGGCTGGGCAGCTTTGAGAGTTTGTTTCGATTCAGTGTCAGACCGATGGCCTTGGAGTTATTGAAGAAAGACTTGGGGAAGTCGTCAATAGGCTGGTTGACGATCTCGATGGACTGACCAAAGTCCCCCTTGTGGTCCAGGAGATTATCGTAGGTTATTTTCAAGCCTCCCATGATGGAATATTAGTGTTCTGTATCACGTCGCCTCGATCACAAATCTGCAAATATGAAGAAAAAAGGGGGCAAAAAATCATGAGCAACAGTAAAAATACATGTTAAAACAGTTCCACAAGTTATAGTCATTCATCGGCAGGCCATCATTACAACATCAATCAACCTTAAGCCCCTTTCACACCGGGCCAGGAATAAAGTTGCGTAGTGTTGCGTACCGACTACGCCGACCGTACGCTGCCCTACACTGGCCTACGTAACTATACAGTAAGGGATGCAAAAGGGAACACGAGATGGACGCAAAAAATGAAACATGTTTAATTTTGTTGGTGTACTTTTTAACTAGACGCAGAAAGTACGCATTTTGTACGCAAGTCTGCGCAACACTACGCTACAGTACGCCAATCTTACAAAACAGAACGCTACCCTACACCAGTCCGACAAAGCAGTAAAAGCTTGCGCACATAGTAATAAACCGTACTCAACTGTAAGCAAACCTGTACACCAGGCCTACTGTACGTAAATTACCCAACCCTACGCTTGTTATGCGCAATATCGTACGTGAAGGTACGCCAATTGCATATGCCGTAAGTACGAGAGCCTACGCACAGGGTACGTATATGCCATCGTATGCCAGCCTACGCATAACCTATGCAGGAACTGCACCGAATCAATATTTTGTTCATGAATACGCAGCCTAATATCGGCATAGTCGGTACGCCAGAGTACTCAACTCTACGCAGATCCGGTGTGAAAGAGGCTTTACAGCGTTTTCTTGCATGACTCCACAATACAATTCTGCTGGCACTGTGGAAGCCACAAATTGGGTTTGTCTAAACTGTGAGTGCAGGTTCCATAATTGGTCCATTTATCCACTAATCAACATTAGTCAACAATTGAAATTACATTTTGGCTTTGTCATTTGAAGGTGCTGAACCCCAAGCAAGGCACAGCTTAACTAAATTGTCATTCAATGCTTTGCCCATTACATAAATCACTTGCTCAATCAGTCAACAAAATATGCAACAGACAGTAAATACTCTGTGAAAGGCAAGTATTTAGGGAATTATATGGATGTAATTAAGGTTAATCTGTCATCCACGTTATTTGAGAGGAATTAGTACTGGTTTATCAACCACATTGTAATAATAAAATGAATCTTTGAGGTTACTGTGATAAACCATGATTGCATCAAATACTATTAAAGATGAAATATATTATAGTTTTGATGATGTTCATAAAAGAAATAACAAAAAACACAATAACAATTTCCCGCTCTATTTATCATTAAAGCTGTGGAAGTAAATGTAGACAGTTTTATTCATATGGTAATTTACACAATGCCAAGTAAAATTAAGTGCTTTATTATCATGAAAGTGTTTTTTAAATCACACAATAAAACATAAGTGAAACCACACTCATTAATCAGTGATTAATAGAGCTAAGAAAGTTGAAGAACAGGACAAAGCAATACATTTTCTTCTCACTACAGCTTAAAACACTGAACTTACACGTACAAGCGCACCTGAAGTTCCTCAACTCATCTCACCCTTACAAATGTAAATTCCTTGTCCATTTATGTTATCAAGATCTCTATAAACTATTTGTATTGTGATGTAAAAATACATAATAGATGTATCTATTCAATTATCCTTAAATTTGTTACCTTTTCACACCTGGCTTCACAATCATTCAGGGGTTCTTCCTACAGACTATGTTTACAGCGTATTTCTGTTTCAACCCTACACACCTTATGCAAGCAAGGAATTCTTTGCTCTGAATGTTATCTGTTCTGGAAACTATTTGGGTCCACGTACAGCTAAAAAAAGAAGATCATCTTCATCAACCTTTGAATGGACGATATCAGCTTATCAGTCTGAGCAGTGGGGGCAAAGGTAGGGGTGTATTGAATAGACCTGTTTCAACATCTTGTCGGGTGGAAGAATGAGGCTGTGTATGCACAAGATACACAGACCACATACATGTATATATGCATGTGTAGCTGTCTCCATTCCCTTGCCCCCCCCCCCCCCCCTCAACAAAATGGGGACAAAAGGGGGAAAATGGCACGAAGGAAACTCTAAGAAAATGAAGAGGCAGATAAAGATAAGTCCAGAATGCAAGAACATGATAAGCCATTTCGTAAATACTATCTGCACATGGGCAGATAAAGGTAATTTGTGATAAAATTGTAAAACCCACCGAGATGAATACGTGCTCATGTTGTGTAATCATTATTCATGTGTGCACCTATGATACAAGAGGACAAACAAAAGCTTTTCATAAAGCACATACATGACTTTGGCATTGATACACAAAGTGGGACTTAATTCTCCATGAGTAAAAGATCTGTGGATATTTGGGGTCATTTGATCCATGTGCTAACTACATGTATGAAATGGTCTATTGGTTGCTATACATTTATTGGTGAATTAGCATTTCTGGGTATGTCTGTAAGCACCACTACCTTCATATTAAACTAAGGTGGTATCAAATACAATTATGCATATTGCTTCTTGTAAGAAAAATTAAAAAATTATCAAATGAAAATTCACAAAATTACATCAAGCAAGCCTACATGTACATGTATGGATCCTGAGCGCAGGATCAGATATATACAAAAAAATGCAAGTTGATATTTCGTAGGTGGAACAGTGTCGACTCTATCGAGGCAGTAGAAAAATAAAAGTAACCTAGACAAAAGTGCAGATCAAAGCTTTGAAATCTGGCATACATCTCGCAAATATTGGGATGGTGGTAGCAGGGCATGTGAGTTAAATGGATTCCGCATCTAAGAGGGCCCTTTGAAGCAGTCCGTTGCACCGAGAGTCTTTTTTCCCCCTATCATAATCCCCTTAATCCCCCACCCGGACCGCACAGCTCGTAAATCTCACTCCCGAAACTGAGTGACATAGGGCTCGCGAAATGCATTGTTGGAAATACACATCAGCTGCTATCGACAAAAATGGCGGCGTACAGTAGGGAAGAGTATTCGGTAGGCGACGATTTAGACTTTCTGACTGATTTTGAGGAAGATTTGATTCTTGAGCCTGGTGTATGGGAAGTTGGAGACCAATACAAGTTATGCACGTGTAAAATTCCATCAACAGAAAATCTTGTTCGTTGCAGCGAACCAGAATGTACGGTTAAATGGTTTCATCGTGAATGCGTAGGCCGGCCGCTCCATGTAAATAGGTAGCATTTGAATACATGAATAGTCAATACACTCACAACATACAGTACAAATGCACATAATCATCCCGATGCGGTTGATCGGCAAGTTTGACAGTAGACTCACAATTTTAATTTTTAAATTATTCTTTCTAACATCAGAAAGTTGAACAAATTGTATTTCAATGCTCTTTAGGTGTCATCAATCGTCACTATAGTACTGCCTTTGAATGAAATCAGTTGAGTTTTGTACAGTGGTGTTTGAAATGTTGAGAATCAATGGCACAACTTTGAATACACGGCCAGGGTAGTAATGCAGCTATGTGTGTTTCCACCAACAACATCCAGCATGTACAGCCCAGCGAGCACGGCGGCTTTCGCGTCGCCGGCCCGTACTCGGGGTGAAAAGTGGTGATGAATTGACAACTTCTAACCCTCATTAAACCAAATGCGCAAATATACAACACAGTTTAATTTAGTTATTTTAAGAGATAAACTTATGGACTACCTTCCTAGCTATGTAAAAATTTCGGAAACTTTCGGAAAATGTCAATAATTAGAAGAGAACGTGATGATGATGAGAAACTTGCATTCACTCTAACTCACGATTTCCTTGGTCGATTTCGCTGGTTCAGATGGCTACGTCTTCAGAAGAGTTATCCGAGCACAGCGAAAGCATTTGATAACCAATAGAAGGTTGCCTTGTGCCATAAGTTGTCGATTTTGTATCTTTGTCTGTTATAGCTATATACATCTTCAATGAGTATGACGTCATTTTCTCGGTGACTCGCATGGCTTCAAAGCCTTTTTTTTACGACCAAGTGTTTGGAGAGCTTAGGGAAGCAGGCCGCGTTGCGTAACACTTCGTAACTTCGTAAGGGCGGCTGTTGATGGATTTGATGGCTGAAGAGGGTTAAATTACTTGTTGTTAAGCCAAGTTAATCTTGAATATCTTTCCCTCGGGAAATTCTTTCGAGACGGAATCTCCATTTAAAGTCTCACCTCCCTGGTGGTAGGGAGATACCGGTAAATGTACACACTGTACAATATGTATACTGAACCTTTGTAAAAAAAATATATAAACTAGATGGAATTTTGACTGCGCGCAGTCGAAAATGATGCCTCCGCCATAGAGCAATTTAAACAAGTTTGGAGTTTAAATCTCCAGTGGTTCTTGAGATATCATGATAACAATCTCAATGTATGGAATATCATAAGTTGACCTCTGTGACCCTTGACCTTTGACCTACGTGCTCCAAAATCTTATCAGATTGTCTTCCTATGGTGATACACACTATCATTAAGTTTGAAGTTTAAATCTCCAGTGGTTCTTGAGATATTATGATAACAATCTCAATGTATGGAATTTCATAAGTTGACCTCTGTGACCCTTGACCTTTGACCTACGTGCTACAAAATCTAATCAGATCGTCTTCCTATGGTGATACATACTATCCTTAAGTTTGAAGTTTTTACATCTCCAGTGGTTCTTGAGATATCATGATAACAATCTCAATGTATGGAATTTCACAAGTTGACCTCTATGACCCTTGACCTTTGACCTACGTGCTCCAAAATGTAATCAGATTGTTTTCCTATAGTGATACACACTATCACTAAGTTTGAAGTTTAAATCTCCAGTGGTTCTTGAGATATCATGATAACAATCTCAATGTATGGAATTTCATAAGTTGACCTCTGTGACCCTTGACCTTTGACATACGTGCTCCAAAATCTAATCAGATCGTCTTCCTATGGTGATACATACTATCCTTAAGTTTGAAGTTTAAATCTCAAATGGTTCTTGAGATATCGCGCTAACAAACTCAATACAAGGAATTTCATAAGTTGACCTCTGTGACCTGTGACCTTTGAC